GACCGGCAGCTGCCTGGTCATGGAACTCTGCTACAGCCTGGACACGGAGCTGTCCCTGTCTCTTATACACATCTAGATGTGTATAAGAGACAGCCCACGACCACCCGGGGGGAGGGGGGAGCAAATAGTTGTCTTGCCTCACGCTGCTCACCCCTCGCTGGCGGGGCAGGATGGGGGGGGGGGGTAAATAGTTGTCGTGGCAGTTCTTCAACACCCGTGAGCCATGGTATCAACTAAGATTGTGGCTTTGGCCAGTGTGTTAAGGCATTGGCCACGCACGCGCATGAGTGGCAGCTGCCCAGGTTCAAACCCTTGCAGCAGCAACATCCCGGATCTTGATGATATATAATCCGGGAGCGGGGTGGGGCGGGGCAGCGTGGTGTGCACGAGTGTGCGACAACGGTCTCCTTTTTCGTTGTTTCTCTCCACGTTGTTTTTCGTCATTTCCGCATTGAAAAACCCTGAAAATTTCGCTCTTGGGATTACAGCAATTTCCCTCTGTTTCGGGAGGGAGGGCAGGGTGGAGCGGGGACCGTTCCCGCTTTGATACCAGTGTGACAGACCAGCCGGGATGGCGGTCCACCAGGATCAAGACAGAAGGTTGAGGAAGGAGGAGATGGAGATGGAGCTGGAAGGGACAACGCAACTCTGACACAGACTCAACACGCACCTACTCCAAAGTGTGCAAATGCAGAATGATCCAAGAAACAGACTGCGGTTGGGGAATACCCCCAGCGGACTGACTGGACTGGACTGGACTGGCCTGGCCTGGTACCGACTATGGTACCGGGCAGACCTACATTGGACTGAAACAGTACACGGCCTGTGGGGTCAGGCCACGACCTGGTCTCACAGGCCGAACAAACAAATAGCCGAATAGGCCCTAGCTGTAGGCCACGACAGAAAGAGGCCCGTTGCACGATCCTTAAACCTACAATGGATCGCAAGAGCCATAAACACGCTTTCCGCAACAAACAAATAGCCGAATAGGCCCTAGCTGCGGTTGGGGAATACCCCCAGCGGAACTCTACAATAAAGAAAGCTAAGAAATCTAGGATGCAGAGCAAGCTCCATGCGGAGTCCATACAATGCAGCCTAAGCTATGTAATGTCAAATGAAAAGAAAATGTCGGGTATACACATCCTATTTAACCGCAGAAAATGAAATGTAGCAATATGTCACAAGTAATGTCATGTCACTGAACCACTTAAGAGTGGGATGGTCTCAGAGAGGGTGAATGCAGCCTCAGAACCGAAACTCCGAAGGGCAGTCACACACGAAGGTGGGATAGGTCATCAGGCTCAAGGTGGAAGAGTGGTAGCAAAACAAAACCAATGACCGTAACAGATAGACCATCAAGGCGGGTAATGCTCGACAAGAGGGTGACACCATGCATGTTCGACCACGAAAAGGGGAGTTTGGAATGGGGTGGAGGTATGCCTAACTGAAGGCATGCAAAAGCCGGCACCAGGGTGGTGAGGTCAGTGGGTGAGGGAAACGTGCACACAACTCACCAACTGGGGGAGGGAGCTAGATCTGGGAGTTGTGAAGCCAAGATAACGCTACGGTCCCAATGCCTATGCGATACCAAGGGAGAGCCCAACTCAAAGAGATTCAGCTAAGTGAGAACCATCATGCGACACATGCAAGGTAATGTACAGCGTAGGGGGGTGGCGTGAAGTAATCACGTGCAAAGTAGCTGAAGCCGAAAAGGTAGCTCAAGTCGTCGAGGTGGTCGATGACGTTGATGACGTAGGAGTCGAGTCGATGTTGAGGCAGAGCCGCAAAACGCTGACATCCTGAAGAAGCTGATGATGGAGTATCTGGTGGTGTTAGTCAGTAGGGGGGTAGTAGGTGATCAAAGTGTCAATCGTCGAGATGCCGAGGACGTCAACGAGTGCGTTGTGGACGCACAAAGGCGTCGGTTTGCTGCTGAAGAACGGACTCAGAGGGAGCACGCTCGTCCTCAGCAATCTCCTCAGCCGGAGGAGGAAAAAACAGGTTAGTCGACTGAGTACGAGCAGATGTCTCAGCACGACGAGCACGCTCATATGCACACAACAACATCCGCGCGCACTCCAAGTGCTCGAGGGGCTCCCAAGTAGCCTCATCATCAGGATAGCCCTTCCAACGCATAAGGTACTCGATGCGTGGAGGGGTATTGTCGGTAACTCGGCGAGATACGATGTCGGAAACGACGAACTCCTCGTGACCGTCCACCATGATAGGTGCGCTTCATAATTGCGGTCATATGGGCGATCCAGTCGTCAAGCGTGGGACAACGAGTGCCCGGGTGCAAGTACGACGGTCGTAGGAAATCCGCGGGTACGTGAGGGTGGTAACCAAGGTTGCAATAGAGTGGCAACATCCCTGTGGCTGGCGAAACAGCGTGGTTGTACACAATCCCCGTAAGTCCCACTGCTGGTCACCCCTAATAAACTTTTGGAGGTTGTTACCGATAGTTTTATTGGAGACCTCAATCTGAGCATCCATCGAAGGGTGGTAAGACGATGAGAAGCGGAGTTGGGATCCAGACACCTTGTGTAGGCGTCGCCAAAATGTGCTCGTAAAGCGAGGGTCACGGTCGGAGATGATGCTCTGAGGTAAGTCGTGATCTCTCATGACTCGGTTGAAGACGATGTCGGCGATCTCATGAGCGCTAATGCGATAGCAGCATGGAACAAAGCGTGCACACTTCGTGAAGCGATCGACGACGACCAGGATAACATCATGACAACGCTCAGTGGGTGGAAGAAGAGGACCAATGAAATCCATTGAGATGGACTGCTATCGACCCTCACGTATGGATAGGGGCTGAAGTAACCCATACGGAAGGTGGTTCGCACTGTTCACCTCCTGGCAGGTAGGACACTCCTGGATGTAGGCTTTGACAAAGTCCTTGGACTTCGCCAGAAGTATAGGTGGCAAACATGAGCGAACGTCTTGTGAAAGCCCTTGTGACCGACAACTGCCTGGTCATGGAACTCTGCTACAGCCTGGACGTGGAGTTGTCCGGTGGAGGGAACGTACGTGGTTGTAGCTGACCAGATCTGCCACGCCAGTACACGAGACCGTTCTTACCGAGTGAATATGAGGGAACAGTCTTGCCACTTCGCAGTGTCGCATGGATGAAGCGATAATTCGGGCAGTGACGGTACTGAGTGCGATATGCGTCGATCACCGATTGATTAATAGTGGTGATGGAGATGGCAGAAAGATGGAGGGTTTCTGATTGTGATCAGGACGGCGGGACAAGGCATCGGTGACGCGATTCGTTTCACCCTTGATGAGCTGAGTGGTGAAACTGAACTTGGATAAATCCACCAGCATGTCTGTCGAGGGGAAAGTTTGAGCTTCGTGAGGAAAGCCTGGACAACAAAGTTGTCCATCGGCACCATGAAGGGCGCCCCGCGCAGGTAATGACGCCAGTGCCGGGTAGCATAAACTACTGCGAGAACCTCACATTCATCGGCAATGTAGTTTATCTCGGCAGGCAGTAGCTGACGGGAGTAGAGTGCGATCAGGTAATCACCAGCATGAGCCTTGACAGTCCCATCCTCCGCAATGGTCGGAAAGTAAGAAACGGGAGGACTGTCAGTGGAGGGTAGTGGTGGAAGGGTAGGCGTTAGTCGAGAAACAGTGTTAGGAGGAGAGGGAAACACCGGAGAAAGTACAGCTCCATTTGCAAAATCTGACGCATCAATGGTGACGATGAAGGGACGATCAAAATCGGGGAGACGAAGAACCGACACACAAGTCACCACCGCCTTCTTGAGGGTGTGAAACACATTCTCGCAGAGGGGTGTCCAAAACCATGGCGAGTTCTTCCGGAGGAGGGTGGAGGTAAGGACGTAGGAATACCTAGCGTATCCCTGGATGAAATTACTATAGTAACTAGTGAGACCTAAAAAATTGTGAAGCTGCTTGATGGATGTGGGGACAGGCCACTCCACAATAGCAGTGATCTAAGCTTGGCATGGAAGTCATGCTTGCGTAATGACTCGCGGAGGTGTCTGAGATGGTCTTCTAGGGTACAGCTGTAGACCAAAATGTCATCCAGGTATACGAGAACGTATTATTCAAGGATATCCTTGAAGATATCGTTCATCGCCGTCTGGAAGGTGGCAGGTGCGTTGGTGAGGCCGAATGGCATCACCGTGAACTCGTAATGATCGAAGCCTGATCGAAAGGCGGTCTTTGGCTGGTCCTCTCTTGCAACGCAAATCTAGTGGTAACAACTACGAAGATCGATCGTCGTGAAGAAGCGGTTGTCTGTTAGACGATCAAACAGCTCATCCGCGTGGGGCATGGGATAGTTGTTCTTAACCGTGTAGCGGTTAAGACTGCGGTAGGCAACGCAGAGGCGAAGAGTTCCGTCTGCTTTGCAAGCAAAGAGGACGGGTGCATCCCAAGGGGAGTTACTAGGTTTAATGAAACCCAGTCGAAGGAGCTCCTTGAGCTAACGCTCGAGTTCCATCGCCTCTGGAATCGAGAGTCGGTAGGGTGTCTGATGGTGGACACGATAGTCAGGCACGAGTTGGATAAAGTGCTTAACACCTCGCATCGGAGGGATCCTCTGTGTGAAAAATACGGGGGAAAAACGTCGTGGTACTCTTTGAATCAGATCGAGAACGGAAGGCTTTACGTCGGTCGTGAACCGTGTGAGTTCCTCGACGTTTGCGTCGGCACGAGAAGTATGGGTGGACTCGACAGTGAACGGCGTAGGGACCTGGGATGTTGAGGGGGTATCCGCAGGCTGAGGGGTGGATGTAGAGATGGGAGCCACAAAGATGGAAGAAGGGTCAGGGGGATCGGGCTGCAATGTTATGAGCTCAACCCTGGGACAGAGTGGATCATAGCGAAGAAGATCCATACGTTCACTAAGTAGAACGTGACGTCCTCCTGTCGTATGAATTGAACGAACGGACGAGGAAAAGTGAAGGTGATGTCAGGGTGGGACCCAGAGGAACGAGGGTCCTCGGGAGGTACGCAGGGAGGGGTGTCGCCGATGGTTCCAATGAAGGGGACTCGATGGGTCTGACCACATTTGGTTTTGAGAACGACTGTCTCGGTCACCCATTCGGCCTCTGTGCCACGGAATAGGCGAGACCAGGGAGTGTCAAGAATAAAGTCGTACCCAGTTTCCAACACGTCGAAGTATGCGGAGGAATGGTAAAGTCGAGGCGCCTGGGTACTATCCGGTGGCTGGAGGGTAAGGGACAAGTGGAGATCAGGGACGGTCTGATCGAAGAAGCGCTGTATCTTGTTATCTCCAAGGGTAACGGAGATAGGAGAGCGAGACCCGGAGGTAGCAAGACGAACTTCCTCAACCACGTGAGGGTGAATGAAATCTCCCTGCGAGCCAGAGTCCCATAAATCGCGGTATTCTCTTATAGATGTCCCAAGGCGGATGGGAATAATGGGGAGTGTGCGATCATGGTCAGAAAACAGAGCGAGAAGACAAAGCAAGACGTTTACGTGTCTTGTGAGTTGCTCTTTACGAGCCTGAAGAATGCTCAAAGAGGTAAACCGCAAGTCGGTGGTAGCCAAAGGGGCAAACCGCAAGTTGCTGGTCGAGAAACCAGCTACATGCGAGGCCTTAGTGGTACACTGCACCGTGGCTAGCTAGATGGGGCTGGTCGGCCGGGGCCGTGGGGGACTAAGATCGACGCTGATGAGAAATGTCAGCATAGTGCCGATCGAGGGCAGCATGGTATGGACATCGTGTGGAGGTGTGTCCATCCTGGCAGCAGCTAAGGCAACCGTGACGAGCCTTGAGGGCGGTGTGCTCCTAAGGGGATAGAGCTCCGTGAGGAGGGACGAAACCCTGCAGGAGGTATATCTGAGGGACCGTGAACGTACGGGCGCGAGCGAGTGCAACCCGACTGCGCGTACGACCCATGGCGGACATCGCTATCTGCAAACGCTCGACCACCGGGACAGTGTCGTCATCCACGCGGTACTGGATGACATCCCGAAGCTCGATGTCCTCGGGGGCGTCCCCAAAAGTAGGGTCAAGCTCGGTTGAGGCGTCCTCGTCATACTCGAGAGAACTGTAGCACCGAGAGAATGGCGCTTCTGGCCGAGCTGGTTGGCGAAAACGGCCGGTGAAAGACGATCGACCACGAGTAGTGTCACATGACTAGGTCGGGGCGGCGGTGGGTCACGGAGAAGACGGGGCTACGAAGAAAGCACTGCACATCCTCAGGTACTGACGTGCAGCCTCGTATGCCTTCTCCGCGGAAGAAAATGACCGCCTCCATAGCTCCTTGCAGTAGTCAGTCAGAAGAATGACAAGGAACCGGCCGGTGAGGGTGACCTCTGAGAGGAACGTCTCATCGCAAACAAGGTGGGTGTCTTGAAACACCCAGATGTGACGCTCTAGGTCAGACAGTGTAGAGGAGCCAGACCATTGGGTCTGGGTGACGCGGTCTAAGGCGTCAGTAGCGTCGTGGCGAGCGCCAAAGTGGTCCTAGAGGAAGGTCGCAATGTCTGCAAGACTGGGGAGCTCACCGACGAGAAGGCGCTGGGTATAATGGTCCTCCCACGCAGTGGAAGAGCTTCCTTGCAATTTGGTTGCGAGCACGTTGCACCACAACTCCTGACGGGTGGTCGTCAGCGAGAGTGTGCATGTTGCTATCTGCAACCAGCGATGGACACGGGATGTGCCATCATACTCGGGAATGTCCGATGTGCGTACAGGAGGATGTTCGTTGTGCTGATGGCGGGGGGAGAGGGACCGCGACGCTTGCAATGCGGCGGCGAAAGTTGGGGCCGCTGCAGGGGCAGGACCGTGCCCACTGGCAGATGGACCAGCCGATGTGAAGGCAACGACTGCGAGCAGTTGTCCCGGAACACTTAGGTAGAAGGGGAGAGGCTGAGGAGCAGGTAGAGGGAAACGAGCCGGCATCATGGGGGCCGAAGGGGTGGTAGAAGAAGAAGAAGGGCGAGGCTGTCGCAAGGCAAGGATCTCCGCCCAAGCCTGCTCAATGGAGGTCTGC